CGCAATTCATTGGGAGCCGATGTTCATTTCATCGAATCATACGCCCTTCGGACGGGGTCAAACGTTCAAGGTGCCCACTGCCACAACCAAGATGTTGTGTGTGTGTGTGTAGTTCGTACGCTTCTCCTTGGTTGGTCTGCAATCAGGGTTTCTAGCCAACTCCCCTAAGTGAACTGTCGATGGTTCACCAACCCGGTTATAGCCCCGGATGTCGACTTTTCGTTCTCTCACCTTTGTGGGACAACACCTCCGCGACGAGAAGGCAGTGAGTTTGGTTTCCTCAGCAGAGGCTGTCTGAGACACTTGGTCGTATGTGAGTATTTCGTGAGGTGCAAGGGAGCGGTGACCAGCCGGGCTGTAGGAAACCACGTGGTGGTCAACAGATGGAGATGAGGCATAAAGAAAGGCCATTAGGTAGAGTAGGTGTCTCTCGCCTTCCAGGTTGGGGTCCGAAAGACTCCACAACTGGTTGGTTGGATACATTGAAGGATATGGCAGCGGTATGTATGCACAGTTCGATTTGCGTACTCCGTGTGTTGTCCATAGTGCCTCATCTTCTCCTTCCCTCAAAATAGATCCAACCCCTGTCCACCTTCAATCTTACCACTAACCTTGTATGCATTGCGAGTTTGGCAGCGATCAGCGAATTTTGCTTCTGTGTATTTCGCTGTACGATGATGATGATGATGATGATGAACAGCCGCAACCTGAGACACCCACTCCCGACCATGGCCACTTCTTAACTGAGCCCTCAATTTAGGCTTGCTATTCTCTGTGGTCTTTGCGATTGACGTTGCTTCGTCAAAGTATTTTCTTCCCGTGTTTCCGGTCGACACCTGTTTTCCATTCGGGACGTGTCAAACAAACGCCCTGTCAAGACCATGCAACTTTTTTTGGGTTACTCGCCGCACCAGATGCGCCACGAGTACCTTCCTTAGCCCGGTCACAAGCAACCGTACATTGTTATATGGCTGTCACAGCTTTTTAGGTGATCATTCGCGATTTGTTTGTCATGGATTTGGTCCTCAGATCTATACCTCCTCGATCTACTGGGATATACCCGTGGATTGCATCACGAAGTCGAATTGACAACGGAGCTCGTCTTTGATGCTTCATTCACGAGCAAAGTATAGTACTCTGCCATCTGTCCCCTATTTCATGCTATTGAGTGCTGTATCTGACCAGTGATTCAAGCACCATCGATATTTTTTTATTGAACACGTAACCAATTACAGAGAACTGGCAAATGTGCCACAACGTATGAACAGAAGGAAATTTGAAGAATGTGTTCATGGGTTGTGTGGGCATGTTACTTCCCGGTTGTCCTTGCCAAGGAAGGGGGATAGCCTCGGAGTCCCCATCCGAAGCCTTTGGCTAGAAAACCAGACCTGTAAGACAACAGGACGGAGCTCAGAGTGCGCAGTTCGCTGGATCATGCGTTCTTTGGGCGGGGTCACACGTCCAAGGTGCCCAATTGAGCCGGTGCTCACTGCCGCGACCGGGAAGGTATGCGTGTGGTTCTTACGCCTCTACTTGGTTGGTTTGCAATCAAGGTTTTTAGCCAACTCCCCTAAGTGAACTGTCGATGGTTCACCAACCCGGTTATAGCCCCGGATGTCGACTTTTCGTTCTCTCACCTTTGTGGGACAACACCTCCGCGACGAGAAGGCAGTGAGTTTGGTTTCCTCAGCAGAGGCTGTCTGAGACACTTGGTCGTATGTGAGTATTTCGCGAGGTGTAAGGGAATGGTGACCGTTCACAATCTCAGACACCCACCCCCGACCATACTGAAACTTTCGAAGGCTGTTTTGCGTCATCAGTTGCGCGTGCTTTTTGTGTCCCTGTCGGGACTTGAACCAACCAACTGAATAACAAACCCATCCTATATGACCATCATCTGATTTCCTAATCCAAATGCTGGGGTTAATTTCCTGAATTGGGGTACCCTTCATCGCATAATTCATTCCTCTTGCCGTTCACCACAAGGAGTGTAATGAAAAACTTGTCCATGAGGTGAGAATGGGCTTTGTTTTTTGCTTTTAAATGGTCAATCAGTCAGGAACTCGTTATCACTGAAGGGCCAAAATGTACTCTCGATAGATTATTTTGTATAGGTAGGTCTGCATGGTCATTATTCGTTAGCTGTCTTCAAGTCATACTTTTATTGATATTGGCTATTCTTCGCGGAAACGCTTCTGGATCCTTCCGGAAGGGTTCCAACTAAGTTTATCTCACACTTTCGGTTTACCGACGCAGCAAAATACTGATTTAATTGCCTAGAGAATTATTTTTGGACAATGTTCTCTTCCCCGAAGTTTAGCTAGCTGTCTGCTTTCGTCGATCGATGCGTTCACATTCTTGGGCATATGGCACAGGACATTTCGCCAATACTCCTCAGACCTTTTCTTCGAAGGTGCACCTCCAATCTTTGCACAGCGAAGTATTACTTTTAGGCTAATATGATGGCGCTGGCTTCGTTTATTACTTACCTAATTTACTTTACTACAACTGGTCTCTTTGGAAAGGATATGCCGGCACCATGAATGTCTCTGATTGCCACCGTAGTTACTTAGGCGTTTGGTACGAACAACGTCCCCCAGCGTCATTCGGTGTTTTTTTTAATTTTGGGGGCGCACCTCTAGCCTTTGCACAACCAACTNACAGGAAGTAATCCCTCTCCTCGGAATTGATGGGGTCAATGATTTTAGTTTTGAAAGGCCAGTCACACCGAGGTTCGTCACGACACCGTCATTGGGCTTATGCGGCTTTAAGCAGGTTGACCACTCTTTGAGTACTGTTGCAATCACTGACCAAGATTTTTGTTGGGCGTCCAAATGTGATTTGCAAGAGCAGTAGCCCATTAGGATGATAATATTGGGTGTTTAGTATTCTGCTCACGTTTCCTGCTTTTATCGTTTGGTGAATGTACGTATGTATGTTCATAGGGATATATCTGAAGAAGTCTAGCATCTCGACAATGGATCTTGCCATTGAAGTAGAAATGAATGGGATATAGACGCCTTAATAGAGCTCTTTAAAGCGCTCGGTAGCATAAAGCCTAACTTTTTTCAAACTTGGCAATACTTATATTAGTCCACTCTCTTTCTTGTTCTGGCTGCATGATTGATTTCAGAAGAGGCATTTTTTCTTTTACGGCAGTGGTTTCTACTTGTGAATTGTTGTAGTAGTATCAAATCACGGCAAATCAACACGAAAACGGATGGTATTGACATTCCCTATTGTCCCTCATCAGATATATTGAACGCGTACCTTTTCACAAATCATAGAGTCGATAAACAGGTAATTAGGTACTTCCTACTTTCAGACACAGTATCAAGGCCTAATTTTTTGGAGTTACGCAGAGAATAGCGCTACCCATCATCTCAGTTCGATCCTTTTCTTCATCGTCCTAGTTCTGACATCTCTGAAAAGCGGTTCATATCCACGAGATAATTGTTCTCTCCGATTTTCGTTACCGTTTCCACTATCCCCACAGAACGTCTCCGAGCGATTTGCAATCGCTACTTGTGCGATTGCTCCATTCGCCTCTCTCTCTATCATTCGCGCAAAGACTCCCCGATCAAATGGTAATGAGGCCATACGCGTGATTTGTGATTGGAAAAGCCAAACATCACACGTGTTCATTTTAATTTATTCATCTCGGAGCATTCAGTTATTCGACTGTTGTGCATAATTGACATCGATTATGTTTTAGGGGACGGGAAGCGTGATTTGCCAAATTGGATCATCTCTCTGTGACTGTTTCACTGCCGAAAACCGGGAACAGTCAAGGTAACAAACCCTTCGATCGTGTCTATCTATCTGGCTGTAACGAACGGTACGATTCACTGCGTTTCGTCTTACATTCTCTTCTGCTCATACGATCGATCGAAGAACGGTAATTCGGTTCGATTTGAGCTATCTTGTTTTGTGACTTTGTGCTCTAGGTAACTCCTTTTTTAACCAATGAACAAGCTGAAGTGCGAACAACGGGTAGATCATGTCAAAACAATGGGGCGAAGGTGCACAATACAAAGGAAGTGAGGACATGCATGCACTCCTATGGACCAAATCACCTATTCGCCCAATGTCTTCAAACGTCCATTGCTTTGATCATGATGATCCCAAAAGTAAAACTTAATGGAACCAATCACACGCAGTACGCAACTGAATTCGTTAATGCCGTTGTCATGACATACTGTGTGTATCTCTGACTCGGAAGACTGCCGACCCATTTTGGGACATTCTCCATTCTTTGGTCTCCACCAGGCGCTCAACTCTCACCTGTGGCTCCGAGAAGCTGTCTGGATGCAACAGCGGTCACACTCCGGTAAACCGCTCGACAGGCGGACCAAACCAGGTTGAGGATAACCGGAACATCAGCTCCCGGTTAGTTGGTGTCTAACGAATGAATGCGGTACTAGCGCGTTGAGCAGATGAATTCGCCTACACAACTCACAGGTCAAGGCAATGATTCCGTACGCTCCAGGGATCCATGTGAGCCCCTGTTCAGCAAGAAACTCAATGACGTAAGAGCCCCCCTCCCTCTCCAAAGGGCTATTAGCAACCATGCACTACCTTCCTGCGGCCTTGCAGTTAGCACTTGGATATGCAAAGGCTAAGGATACTACCTCGACCTAATGCTGTTTGACGCTGGGGCGGTTTCCTGTACCGAAGTCTCACGAAGTCTCATGAAATATCCATGTGGCCAACTTATCCTCTCCCAGGAAACAGCCACCCCAAAGTAAAGTAAAGATGTTTGTATGTGTACCTGATCGAGAAACCATTTCGTTTCATTTTGGGGACCAGTACACCTGTGACGCATTCCTCACGAATCCCCCTACCTCCTCCCCTCCCCCCCCCCAAAAATCCTCAAGGTTGCACTAGTTACTTTTTCTCTTCAGTGATTGCTGTCAGATTTTTCACAGTCATCGGATATTATTTATGCTCGTTTCTTTTCAGGTGAACTTCAACGCAAAATGGGGCTGAAAGTATTGAATCTGGGCGGAAACTCAGTAATCGGGTCAGTCGTCCTTTTGGTTTACTACTTGTTGGCTGAAAGCCACGTGTGTGGTATTATTGTGAAGCACCATTTGTGATGTTTTGCAGTTTTGTTGTACAATCCATGCCACTGAGAGCATAGTAGTACAGTTAGTTGCCTCTGACCTGCAAAAGACGTATTCGCATCATCAGTGCATACCGTAAGATTAACATGTCCCAAAACATACTCCTTGTGTTTACAGAGAAGCAATTTGTGTTGAGAATATACGTGTTCGGGGCGTCAAGTGATTCAATGAGAGAGAGAGAGATAAACACAATACGTGTCATGTATACCTGTTGGACGACATTAACCGCTGAACCGTTTATGTGCTCCCTGAGGAATCTTTTCTAGTTATTCAAATGTTATTTATCACAGAAATAAATAGTATATGAGTGAATGAATAGATAAACTGTCCTACAAGCATGTCTCTGATTTCGTGGTTCTTACGGCTTATCTGATGTGCGTAACCAGTACGCCTTTATCAAGCCATTGGCAAAGCTATGCTCTCGATACAAATCATACCGAAGGGAATATCTTCGTTTGCATCTGAGACGAGTCAACCGTGCACGAACTAAAGTGATGATGCGGTGATAGTTTTTGAGGTTCAGACGCTCTACAAACTTGACACCAGAGCCAATTTTCGGTGATTTTCGAACACAGCAGCACAGTGTTACACAATTTATTTCCGAAGATATTGCACTGTATGTCTTTAGGTACATACTGCAGTCGGAAACATAATGAAAACTAACAGGTTACAGTTATCGTGGATGATGATGAAGGTGAAAGTCAACGCTGTGTGCCAGCGTCATCGATCGCTCGTCACGTGGGCATCAAGGGAACGTAACCGCGGCTCTCGAAAGTTTTTTCTCGATTGCTACACTTCGCAGAGGTGGTTGCTACAAAGCGATGGAAATCTGAAGTGTGCAAGCAAAAAGAGAAATTTGTAACTCCAGCCCTGTCTTGGTAGGCAGATGGACAAATGTAACACCGACAACTCATTCACGCCCACCAACTTGTTAGTTTTTATTTTGCTTTTCGTCTGTACCTTAACAAATAAATTGTGCAATACTCTGTTGCTGTTTTCTTTATTCTTTTTCTTTTCATTTTACTTCCTTTTATTGAATATACGAAGATGCAATTTTCAGGAAGCGGGAAACGGCCAATCAAAGAGCTGCCATTCAACACATAATGAGGAAGGTCAGGTGGCTGTGGTGGTGAGATTCGAACACACATCTCCGGGGTGATAATTTGGTGATGTTAACACTAGGCCACAACCGCCTTATTCAAGTTCATATTGGGAAAATATTGTCTGGATTTTATAGTCAGTGACATATCAATTACTTGAGTTAGTCGAGGTCGATTGCGACCAGCACGTAATCATCGTATTGGCTTCCTGAGGTTAATTGATCTTGAAATCACTGTAATATATATATATATATATCCGAATTTAGAAATTTAAAAATTAATTAATTAGTTAGCTGCCTGTTTAGAGCCCCAGGGGTTGGACTCCATCTCTGTCATGCCAAAATCCACTGTCCTCCAACTGATTGTGCTAGTCAGCGCTTTGACTCAGATTAGTCACATGCTACTCGTTACAGTCAAAATCTTCCTCTCTTCATCACACCGTCCGTGAATTGATCATATAATTTGCTATACTCCGGGTTTTCGCTTCCCATTGACAGCAATCCATTCGTTTGTCCCTTTTCGTATCAGCTATCAACTGCATTTCGATTTGGAAGGCGAAACGGGAGTGGTCGTGCGTGGAATTGGCACGGCTGTGCGTCTGCGAAAATGTCGCCCTGTGCACTCGCCACCTAACAGTCCGTCATCCGGTCTTAAGTAAGTTAGAATGTGCCACTCAGTGCCCCTCCCCAGCTTGTTCACCTTAACTTTGTTCAGCTAGTTTAATTTGTCCCTCTTCCGGAATCTCTAATTGCTAACCTGGCAGCGTATTGGTTTGTCACCTCATAGAAACATCGTGACACAGGAACCTCGCTTTCTTTTTCTATTTTCTTGTGATGCGTTTTCGTTTTGTTCGTTCAACAGTTTCCAACAGAGTTATGGATCCTTCACCAATCCGGGGCCTTCAGAGGTTCGTTTGCTCAATAGGATAGATATCTGTCCCAGTTTGCCACTATCGTTTGCCTAGTCGTTTAACTTAGTACACAAACTCCTTTCACTGTTGAATTGTAATTGATTTATCAGCGAACAAAGTGCTATTCCAGGAGGAAGGGTGTTCACTTGCAGTGGAGCCAACCGGTTTTTGTGCTGTTTTATGCAATTGCTGACAATGGGCAACCGTTTTGGTCCTTGCTGCGACCCATCGGCAGCGCTTGCTGTTGTTGTACAATGCATTTTGTTTACAACCGTGAAATTCCTTTTCTGTGCCTAAAGGAATTTGTTTTTCTCCCCCTGATTGGTTCTCGCTTTCAGTCGGAGTCTCCATGGATTTCCAGACGCGTTGGGAAATTCCCCGGTTGACAATGCCGATTCACCTGTCTCGTCAGAAACGGAACCACCCAATAAAGGTATTCATCTTTTTCCGTTCCTCCTTGGCACATTTGCGTGAGTTTGGCTGACTTTACTGCACTCCATTTCTGGCTGTTTAAAATCTTGGTTCTGAGCACTTGTCTCTCTCTCTCTGTTCCTAGTTGTCCTCGACAGTACTATCAATTACTTTTTGTTCTCTCATAGAATATCCAATAAGGTACCTAACGGCCGGTTCTTCTTAAAGTCACTTTCGTAATTCCCGGGTAAATGCTTTCACTACTATGTGAAAAGTTTTCCTTTGCCTTCTCCCTCATTTCACTTCACTGAAGCTGTTTGTCTTTTCTCTAACGTTCATACAAACCTCATCAACACCTTGGAACAGTTTCTAGTTTCGAACCCTGACATTAACACCAAACATTTGGGTGGTAGGTAGTTTTGCTGTTGTCTGTCTGTTGGGAGCCACACCAAATCTTCCAAATTAGGAGTGAAAGTTGAGGAAAGAAAGTCGTCAATAAAAATCAGGTTAAGTTTGAGACAGAACGGCACCTCGAGGTAAACAACAATCATGGGTTCAGAACGAGACGTGCTCTCGTCAACACGGATGAATTTGGTGCGGTTGTGAGTAGGCTTGCTGTCCGGGGCACAAGTTTCATGGGAAAGTCAAAATAGGCTTATTTAACCAACAGACCTGCTCGGCATACGCCCTCGAAAGCCCTCGCTATGTGCGACGTCACCCGGTGTTTCTCTTTGGCTGGTCATGTATACTGAACGACCATCAGTTTGGCCGGACTCAACATCCTACTGCCGATTATGTTCAATGTTCTTCAATTAGAGGCAGAGGGTAATTTCCCGTATGAGCCTCATCACCACAGACTCGAAGATTAGGCGGCTTGTTCTGCTCCCGGGTGACGGCGGATTGAATCAGCAACGACTGATTGCACCTCAATTTCATTGTCCTTCCCAATCTTCGGCATATCTCGACGAAACACCACACCGGAAACAGTAGATATGTTCTTCCAAGTTTGTCGAAGTAATTCCAGAGAACATTTCAATGAAAACAACAGAGAGTTCATTAATTTATTATTATTTTTTGTAAGTGATATCTCTTCTCTCCCGTATTTCCTCCGAGGTATATAAATTGTGATGTAATAACCACAGAAAACCAATAAGTAAAAACACGTCTTGTTCTATTCAAAATAATTCCATAGCCTGTAAGATAACTTTGTGTGTGGGTGTCTGACAGATACGAGGTAATAATTGTCCAGGTCCTATGGTTGCTGCTTTCAAAATAGGAGATTTCGGTTGTTTTTCAATCGTTTTAGGGCGTTGAGGCTTTGAGAGGCTAGTGTGCACATTCGGAATTCAAAGGACTGAAACACATAATGTGGGTAGAAAACAAAAATAAGGAGGGAGAGGAAATGGATCGAAGAAATACATTAAATACCCCAGTCTGTCGATAAACCCCTCACCCGAGACGCTTGTTTCAAGAGTAACAATAACCGTTTTGTCATCTGACTACTGACATATTATAAGTAGCCGTTTTATTGCTCTGTCCTTACTGCTTGCTATTCAACTCAGTCCCATGTGCGTTATCAGCTGTCGCCTGTTGAAAGTCACGTCGAAATTGCACATAATTACTTTCACATCCCCTATGTTCCACAGTCTCCATTGGGAAGCAATACACGGCGCCCTACCAGGCACTTGAATTTGGTGTAAGTCACCGTTTGTTGTAGCTCATATGATTGTCTACATGAATTTCCTAATACCGTTTTTGTAATTTTGTCTCATGTTACAAATAATGCCTGAATTTCCCTCGTTGTTTTCGGTGCATGATATGAACACGAACTAATTGGTCCAGCATTCATGCAATTTGAGCACTACTAGTTTTCGTTTGTGAAACTGTGAAACTGACAGAGAGTGGGTGCAGTAGCGCTAGTGTGTACAACACTCAACCCTATCATTCAACCTGTCTAACCATTGATTAAATAGATTCCGATGTTTCAACCAGGGAAGCCTAACACGATCTACATGATTGATTTTACTGTTCAAGGCCTCCATCGTTTCGTGTCATATCACCGTATTGCCATTTCCGTCCATCTTCTGTCAGAGTTTGAGTTTAGTTCAGAATTTACAGTCATTTACCGTAAACCTTTGTGCGGCGGTTCATCCAGTAACAGACGAAGTGGTTTTTTATTGTTTCTATCGTCTTATGGAAGGTAGATATGCCAAAGATTCAACAATTTTCTGCTTTTTCACAAGCAACGTGCGGTGGTAATACTTTGAAAATACTGCGCACTGAGCGTTAAACAATGACACCGGTATTCCAGGTGATATTTTTGTAGTAATGACTTGAATGGATGTCCCCCTCACCACGGTCATCTGCGAAAGCTAACCAATTACCTCAGTGCACGACTTCTACATTCACCGTACCATCAGATCCGTGCAATGCTACGTAGGCAAACACTGGAAACACTAATTGCATGCTGTACGCTCAACTGCCTGTGCGCCGTTTACCGAGGTTGGCTAGACTGCATACTGGATCCTTCACGCAAACAAATGAGTTTCCCGGCTGTGAAAGGCCATGATGCCTATGAGTGATTTCGGCCAGATTCATGTTCAGTCGCATAGACAGTCGTCTGAAACTCAAAAACAATCAGGAATAGGTATGTGCAACAAAGCTAAGCGCTTTCGGTTGACGTTTCATTTTGAAGACGAAAAAAATGAATGTAAAATCGGTTCCCCAATTATACTATATTCATATGTAAAACAATCAACCGGAATACAGCTAAACAAACTAACCACTGTTGAATACATCTTACCATGTTTTCCAGTTATCATACATAAAGAGAATTTGTTTATTCAACGCTTTGAAAATGAATTTCACTATGGGGTCTACATTCGCATTTTGCAACTGAGATACTATAATTGTTTTGGTTATTTGCGATAGTTGTAACGCATTTGTTATTCAGTCGTAC